AGATCAGAAGCAGCTCTAACCTTTCACCTCTCCCATGGGGCGGATCGCTTCCCTCGGAAGTGAAGAGTAATAAGGGTAAAGTTGAAAAAGGGCGCAACTAGACTACTCGCTCCAGTCGCTGCCAACTAACCGCGAGCGAGTGGAAACACTGCAATTAGGGAGCTCGTTTCGGGGAAACGTCTTTGATTTAGGAGAGAGAGAGAGGTTGCGCCACTGCTGGCCCGCGCGCTCCGAGCAACAGAGGGGTCCGTCCAGCAGCGGCTAAGCTAATCCCATCAGCGTCGGGGGCAGTTGGCTAATTTGATCCGTGCAGTTGGCTAATGCGCTTCCGTGCAGTTGGCTAATCTGATCCGCGCAGTTGGGCCGCGTGGACCCGCGCCCGTCCGTCCAGATGGCCGGCGAGTAATCGAATTGATGTACACGCCGAAATGGCGGGCGGCGCGGGGCGGCAAAGAACATGCACAGTCGAATATTTATTTGCAAAGTTTGTGCGGCAAGTTTTTTTTTTTACGTTCGCGAAATCTGTGACGCCGAGCAGTCCATTGGACACAAAAAAACAAATTTTACATTAATTTTTAACCAAATTTCGAAAAAAAAAATTCTGTAAGAGTTTTGTTACAGAGTTTCATCTGAACCCAATAAGTAAGTGACGTCACGATTAAACGACTATAGGCGGTGTTTCTGGGAGAGACAGGCGAGGCGGGCCGCACCAGGGAGCGAGTAGAATATTGGTTTGGTTTGAAGACGCTGCTGGCGATGGTGGTGGTTCCATGAGGATATGATGAGTCGCCTGCTTTGCGAAACCCGCGAAACGCCGGCGGAAGAGGAGGATGGCCCGAGAGAGAGAGAGAGAGAGAGAGAGAGAGAGAGAGAGAGAGAGAGAGGACAGCGAAGGGGAAGGGGAGGGGGAGAGACAGTCGAGGAGCTGGTGGCACACGCCATTTGCACATCTCCGTGCCGGGGCATTCGTTTTCGCCGGAGGCCACAGGAGCCGCCGAGCAGTCGAAGCGCCCCCGCATAAGCGAGCTCGATAATCACCCCGATCACTCCGTTTGACTGTACTGCTGATGAGATGGCTGCCCCGCCCCGCCCCGCCCCGCTCGTCTCCACTTCTTTTTCCGCAGACCGCTTGCTTTTCCTGCCCCCTTTCCCTCCCCTCAAATGCCGCCCATCCGACAGCTCCGTTATTGGAAGCTCAGCGTAAAAGTAGCTATGGCGCCTCTTTCTCTTCTTCCTCTCTTTGCGGTCACTCTAAGGAAAGCGCGGGGGCGGGGGGGGGGGGGCGTTTATAGAGCTGGGGGAGGGAGATCATTGCGGGTGGGAAAAGAAAGAGATTACTAGAAGCCCAACAGGCGCAACGATTGGGCCTGCTGCTGAGCACGTTGTCGTGTGCGGCGACATATAGAGAACAATGTCCGGTCACCGAGCACACGACAAATTGGTTAGCTGTGTAGCTAAACCGCACTAGCTAAATGCGGGGTAACTAGTTGTTTAGCTATGTTTGCCTGCTCGTTTGCGAAATATTTTCCAACCATAGCTGATCTTTTTGCAACACAGCTTAATCGTTAAGTACCTGGCCAATTAATTAATTATCCTGTGTTTAGCCATTTGGTTCAGCTATGTAGCTAATCCGAGCTTATCTCTGCTTACCGTTTACTTAAGTGTCGAGTGCAGCCTCTGCAGGCGCTCGTAGCGCCTAGTAGGTAGGCCACATCTCGCCTGCAGTGCGCGCGTGTACTGCGGGCTGGCCTACCCCGAGTCTCGCAGGCGCCGAGCTCCGAGATGCAACATGCATATGCAGGCCAGGCGTGAACTTGCGGGAGGAAACGGCCGCACTTCCTGGATGATCCCTCACATCATACACGTCGTAGACTCTTCGGCCCGCGTCAAATCTTGTTTCAAGTAGATCCCCATTATTTTACAAGCACGGGTGCGCTGTTTCAGACTGTCCGAGAGCTGCGCAGTACTTGAAAACTACTGTCATTTCGTGTTGCTGACCCTCCGGATTTACATCAAAAATAAAACAGCTCTGAAAATTTATTTTAGCTGACGCTTTCAAACAACCGTTGTTTGAATTACAGCCAATACTTTTAGAGTGTGTTCAGTCATGCCCCCTCCCCCCTCCCATCCCTGCGCTTCACGGCCTGCGCTATCGCAGCCATCACGCTGACGGTAGGAGTACCGAGCGGGCCCCTATCGATAACCGTAAATTTTTAAGCAGTTTATATATATACACGCACAGACTGCAGGGAGGTGAAAGATTCATTTTTTATTTATATATTTTTTTTTTGCGATAGTAAACCTCTGAAAATGAGAGGTGGGAGGTGGATGAGATAGGGAGGGTGAAGCCCGTACTGTCGTCGACCTGCCCCCTCCCCCCCTCTCCTGACCGCTAAAAGAAAATAAGTAAGAATCAAACAGAATCAAAAATAAGGAAAAACGAACAAGCGCTCCTCAAGACTGGGAATGTCAAAGTCCACCCCTATATCCGCTATTTCGCCCCTCAACAGTGTTTTTTTTCTTACTTTCTGTTTGCAAACACGGTTATACGCCGAGTTTTCGTTATGATTTGCTTCGTTCTGGTTGAGCGGATCGGCCTGCTCGTCTCTTTGCTCGTTGGACCTCGTTATCATATCATTTCGCCGCGCGCGGGGGCCGGTGACCTCCGGCTGGAGTGGAGGGGGCGACTTGTGTGGGAGTTTGCCTGTGTGTTCACCTGTCTGTCCTTCGCGATCGCCATATATCGACGTACAAATTAAGTTACACTGTCCAAAAAAAAGGCAACAGTTAGGGTTGAAAACCCTGGAGAGTTTCCGGAAAAGTCTGGAAAGATTTCCGCGAAAACATGGAAAATTTTCCAGACACTGGAAGTTTTTTGTCATTTTCCGGAAAATTTCGGGAATCTTTCAAAAAATTTCCAGGAAATTTTGGAAATTTCCCGCTCCGTCGACGGCGTACTTCATTCAAATTAAAAGCTTAAAACTGTTAATTCGTGTCGCTCACCCTACTACGGCTAGCATTAAAAAGCTATTTTTTTGGGCTGTGAATTTTGATCAACTGTTTCAAACTGTTGTTGAATTGTGAATTATTTTGTTTTTTACTGCACTGCAAAAAATTAGAGTCTGATACGGAATGATCTACAGCGTTACTGTAGAAGCCGCTCTGAGTCACTGCACCTAGGGTACAGAACGCGGAGTACAGTGTTGCTGTAGCACCGGAAAGCCCAGGTTTTACACGTTACAGTGTACGAAGACGGCTCGCCTGTAGACAGTTTTGTCCGCTTTTGTCTGCACAGTGTTCCTGTACATTGCTCCCTGTACCAAATTTTAACCATTAAAACTACAGCGATGCTGTTATTCGAATAACAGACGTCCCTGGAAAATTAATTAGCGGCGATGCTGTCATTTTTTCTGTCATAATTTTTTGCAGTGTGTACATTGGAACGCAATGTTCTTTTGACGAGCGGGTGATTGCTGCCTCTACCTTATCGAAAATATTCGTTCTTTCGCTTCT